AGCCTTTATGAAGATTCAGCAGTTTCCTTGGTTGGTTGAAGGACTGCTCTATGCCTCCCTCAGTGGCTGTACTGCATTTACAAAGGAGCCCTATCTCCAGAGTCATTTTTTCAAATGCCTGCTTGCTAGGAAGAGGGGTGGGGAGACTAAATCTGGGCAGACCTGGGTTTTAGGCCCCGTCTGCCCTCACAGCATTTATCTTCCAGTGGGGGAGATGGGTATGCATGTGACAGTGACCTCACACGTGACTGCACCCTGCAATGAGCTCCAGGAGGGAGAGGACGGGGCCCATGAGGCCTAGGGCAGGAGCCTGGGCGTTCTGTGTGGCATCTCCAGCGGCCCCTTACATCGCAGGAAGGGCGAAGCAGGGCAGCAGTGGGGTTCAACTGCCCGTCCAGGTGGTTGCCCAGTGCCTCACCTTGACACTCACCTCATTGGGACTCAGTGGGGCCAGAGGGATGGGCTGGGCCCTCAGACACCCCTGAGTGAGGTGCAGGCATCCATGCATCCAGGGGTCACGTGTTTACTGACCCTGCCATGTGCTGGGCACTGCGCTGCAGAGCTGAGACCAAGACAGCCAGTCCTTCCCTCAGGAAGCTCATGTTCCACTGGGGGAGATGAGTGACCGTATCAATAAAAATATGGTGTCGAGTCAGCAGGTGATAAGTGACGTTTAGGAAAAGGATGTGTCACAGAGAATAAGACAGACCCATCTGGTGTCAGGGCAGGTCTGAGGTGGGAACACTGAAGCCAAAGACAAAAAAAGGAGCAAGAGATAAGCATGCCAGGGCACGGAAGGGAGGAGAAGAACATTCCAGAACACAAGCCAGCAAGGGCAGAGGGACTGATGGGGCCAGAGTGGCCAGAGAGTGGGCAGAGGCCACACCACCAGGGCCCCGTGGACCACGGGAAGGAGAGGCCATTGAGAAGTTGGAGGTGCAGCTCACTGCTCACTGCCAGGGTGATTTTGGGCAAGTTGAATTTCTCAGTCCCAAGTTTCCTCTTCAGCAAAAGAAGGCTTCTGAGACTGCTCTCACAGGGCGGCATGAGGGCGTGATTACAAAATGCTTAGTACAGAGCCCGGCACACAGTAAGTGTTAATAAGCATTAACGATTAGTATTCAGGTTTTCATCAGCAGGTAGGGTGCCTCGCATTTTGTTCTATGTATTTTTAAACTTTTTAGTATAGAAAAAAAGGTAACTTTTTTTCCTTAACCCACTCAGAGGTAGGGTGAATAGCACAAGAGCCCCTATGCATTCACCACCCATCTGCAGTATCAGCTTTCTGCTCTTTTAGCCTCATCTAGTCACACATCCACCTTTTCCTCCATATTTTCCCCCAACTTTTTATTATGTCGATATGTTAATATTTTATTACGTATGTTTGACATACAACAAAGTTGAAAGGATTTTATGGTGAGCCCCCGTACACCCACCCTTAGATCCTACCGTGAACGTTTTACTGTATTTGCTTTGTCACATGTCTGTCCCTCTGTCTAAATTTTTATGCATTTCATGTAAATTGCAGATATCAGTACCTTTCCCCTGAATACTTCAGCATACATATCATTAACTAGAGTTCTGGGTTTTTTGGAGTATTTTCAGGCAAATCTCAGAGCGAGATAAATACTTTAGTACATTTCTCTGAAAGAAATGAGGACTTTTTTATTAAACCAGCTCCTAGTTATCTCCAACACAATTAACAATATTTCCTTATGTGGTACCCAGTTCGTGCTCAGTGTCCTTCAGTTGTCTCAGTGATGACTTTGAACAGTTGTTTTGTTCAAATCAAGACCCACAAAAGGTCCCATTAAGTCTCTTCTCATCTAGAATAATCACCGCCTTCCTTTATTAAATGCCGGTTACTTCTTGAAGAAACTAGGTCATTTGTCCTGTAGAATTTTCCACATTCTGGATTTGGCTGATTAAGCATCTTTCCAGTGTCATTCAACATGTTCCTCTGTCCCTAGGATTAAGTACTTAGGTCTAGAGGATTCAATCAATTCAGGTCCAAATCCTTGGCAAGAATACTTCAGAGATGTTGCTGTGTGCTTTCTGTTGCATCATGTGGAGAAAAACATAACGCCAGGTTATCCCTCTTTCAGCGACTCTCTTCTTAGAGATGAGGATTGCAATTCTCTTGCTCTCCCCGAGCATTTGTTCCTCCGGGGTAGGGAAGGGTGACATCACACCTGCGTCCTCAGTCACAATCGCAGGGGGAGGCGAGCTTCTTGGATTACATAAGGATGTGTGCCTTCTCAAGTCTCACATTTGTAGGGTGGGTACACCGCCCTTCACTGTCATCTGACAGTTGCCACATATCTTCCTCAGGCACAAAAATATTAAAGAAAACAAACGATTACTCTTTACAATAGAGCCAATTTGCCAGTCGCTGCTCCCGGTTTAGTAGCTTTGGCAGAGTCCCCGTCTTTAACCTGCAGAGTTATTAACTCACCATCTAGCATAGTAACAAGAGCAAATTTTACTTAAGGTGTCCTGTCCTGTTAGTGACCTCGTGAACTCCTATTCAGCCTCCTGTTCTCCTCTGGTGAACCCAGAGCAGATGTCTCCTTCTCTTAGCTCTCCCTCCTGCCCATCTCCACCCCTGGAAGGAGTTCTCTCTGAACTGCCTTCCAGATGTGGCTTTTCCTGATTCTGGGATTCTAGCAACTAGACCTTGATTTGAAAGGCTTTTTCTTTATTTGGGCAGAACTCTCCTGTCTCCCTCAAAGCCTTTCCCAGGAGAAGAACCTCAAGGCTAGAGAAGTCGTTTTGTTATTTATTTCTGGGTTTCATTTTTGTTTCTTAGGAGTGGTCACAGAGACTTAAAAACAAGCCCACAGCTCTAAGACACCAAGCAGTGTACCCTGACAGTCTCTTCTCAGGTCCACTGACTTAAGACCTTTCCCAGGCTTATGGACAGAAATTCTGCACAGAGAGCAAGAGAGCCTAAGGATTAGGAGCGTGGGCTTCCAAGGGAGGCCCCCTGGGTCCTAAAAGTGTGCTGTGGGGAGTGGCCGAACCTGTTTCCGCACCTGTAAAGGAGGAGGAAGAAGTGGTACGTGTTTCGGAGGGTTGCTGGGAGAAGATGACGCCATCACACACGGGAAGCTCCTAGCACAGTGGTGTGACGGCCTGCGTGCTCCGTGAACACTCGTGACGGGAACACACTTCCCAAACACACTTCCCGAACACAATTCCCGATTTAGTGGGAATCACTTCCCACTCCCTACCACGCTCCCTCACATTTCCTTTCTTCCCTTTTTCAGCCCCTGTGTTGGCATTTTAAAAAACCTTCTCTGAATAATATCAAAAGCGACACCCTCCTACCCCTACCCCATCCCCTGCCCCAAACACGCCCGGTCCCTGGGGATGTCCCCATTGGATCTGGGAACAGAAGGAAGTTAACTCAGCCTGGCCCAGGCTGCCTGGGCCCAGAGACTTCTCCCCACTGGGAAAGTGCCTGCCCTGCAGACCACTCTCCCAGCTGGAGGCCTGAGAAGCGGAGGCAAGTTCTGGGGTTGTCCCTGATGTGGGGATCTGCCTGTCCCATCTGGGCTGCCTGACCCTGAGGGAGTGGCCCCGATGCCTGACCAGTGGCAGCCTGGTGCCCACTAACCAAATGTGAATCCATTTCCGTCCATTTGTGGAGGAGGACCCTCACAGCGGAAACCAGACTCACAGCCACCTGCCTTGTTCTTTCCGTTTTGGCACACCAAGAAGAGGAAGATTGGGTTTAGTGACTAGATGGATCTTGGTTGATCCTCCCATACTCCTACGAGGTGGGTGAGGCTGGGTGTTCTCCCTCCTTTTCTAGATGGGGAAACTGAGGTTCAGAGGTAACACTCTGTGGGTGTCGGAGCATCACAGGGCAGTGACTCATCCTGCACAAGGCTGTCAGCACAGATCACTAACGGCAATTGCTAAGACGCGCAGAGCATGAACTGCGCCTGGCACTGTGCTCACCTGCGTGAGTGATCATGTCGGACACTCGACAGTTCTGCCTTGTAGGCACATCCTTATCCTACCTGCAGGTGAGCAACCTGAGGTTCAGAGGGGTTATTGAACTTGCCCCAGGCTCACCCTGCTTGTAGGTGGCAGAGCTGAGATGTGAACCCAGGTCAGTTTCCAAGGCACCAAGCCAGGTGCCCGAGGACAGTGGATTTTTGCTGTGAATAATGCCGCGGTGTAGAAGGAGCACTGGCCTGGAGCCGGGGACCCTGGTGCTAGTCGTGGCCATGTCAGTCATTTCACATGTGACCTCTGGCCTCTGCTCATCTACAAAACAAGGACGTTGGACTTGCTGATCCCCAAGTGCCCCTTCCTTGGGCTGCAGGTTGGAGCAAGAGGCTTTTTGGGAAACACTGTGACCTGTGACACCCCTCGCCCTGCAGGCTGGAGTGCAGGTTAAGGTATCTGCCAGTCAGCTTTGAACACCCTGGTGGTCACACGTGGCTGGCTCTATCACTTTAATTATCTCTCAATCTACAAAGGACATTGCGCCATCTGCCTGGCAGCCGGAGGCTCCTTAACCACTCACTCTTCGTCCTGACACTTTTGCTTCTCTTTCTGTCTTGCCCAACTTGGCCAAACCCAGGTTCTGCTGAGCTCACCCTCCCCTCCAGGCAGGTGTCTGGCAGATGAACCCGCAGGGACAGGAGGCTGTCGTGATTCCGGGAGTGTTGAAACGTATGCTGGAGACGCGGAATCTGGCAAGGGGCGATTGCGTGAGCAGAGGAGTAGGCTTAAGTTGAGGAACAGGGCAAGCCAGGGGGAGATGACCTGTGGGCCAGCGAGCTCCTGAGAGCGTAGACAGCCTCTTAAGTACCTGAGCTTGAGGGCAGGCGAGGGCCCAGTGAGGACCTTCGGGAATGGCTTATATTTGCGGTGACAGATAAGGGCGTGCGGCGCTGCCAGCGTGGGGGAACACTCACCGGAGCTGGAGCACCGGCCCGTCCAGACTCCTCCCCCATGGCCTGATGCACAACGCCAGCCTCCTGCTGAAAGGTGACACTGAGGGCTGGGTTCCCTCAGTCACCCTGTGGGTGCCTGTCGGAGCCGCACGAGAATGGAGCCGATGGCCATGTCCGCAGTGATGGTGAGTGGCAGCAAGGGCTCAGGAGTTTATCTTGGCGGGAGGAAAAATCTGAGGGTGGAACAGGGCTGCTGGTTTACCGCTGACATTCCGCCCCCTCTGTCCCTCAGAGACCTTGCCAGGTATGGGTGTGTGGGGGGAGCTGGAAAACAAACTCATCACCCCCTCCCTCTCCAGCCTTTGTCTGGCCGCTGGCCAGCACTTGTTGGAACCGAGCGTTTTCCTGCGTTCGTTATGGCCAGGGCCCTGATTGCTCTGGCACTGGGCAGCTGTTTCTCGGGTTCGGTTTGCAAGAAATAAAAATAGCTTGGCTAGAGCTTGGTTTTTGGATCAGCTGGGTTATTTCAGCGAAGGACAGCAGCGTGGCATGACATGGTCCACAAAGGTTCATTGGAGGGACTCCTCTGGCCTTTAGCCCGTGGAATTGAACCACATGCACAGTTCTCCTTCTAGACCACCGTGCACGTCTGGCATTGTTAGTTTAAACGTCACTCTGTCACTCCATCTTCCCGGTCCACAGCCAGGTGTCTGGTTTTAGGATTGTGTTTATGTGCACGTTGTAGCACCCTCTGCTTTATGGAATTTATTTATACCCAGTTTCGGTGGTGGGGCAGTGGGAAAGGTATGGGAGTTGGGCCTGGATTTGAGCAAAGTCAAGGTACTGAGCTTCTCTGAGCCACAGTTTACCAACTGTACAATGGGACTAAAATAAAGACGATAGCAGTAATACTATCCATCGAGTTGTCCAGAGGACCGGAAGCTTGAAGGCACTGTGCACTCGTGATGGGCTGTGTGTGTGAATGCTGTATACATATATATGTTACTCGAAGAGCAACTTGTGAGGCAGTAAATGGGGCAAGAATTAGTATGCTCATTTTATAGAAGAGGAGACTGAGGCTCAGAGAGGTTCTTTGGGAGCTTTCCCAGACAGTCCCCCCATTTGTCTCTGTGTACTCACTTGGGAAAAGTTCTCTTGTGGTGGTCTTTCAGTCCTGTGACATTACTCTGCCAAGAAAAGGGAAAGACCCTGAGAGTTTTGGTGCAGGTAACTCTTACAAGGCAGGTGTGGGGTATTAGATCCCCTGGCCCCTACCAGAATACCAGCAGATCTTAAAGGATTTGCCGGGTGCGAGAGGGGGCCAAACTGGGGAGACTTGCCGGTCACTCCTTTCATTTGAGCTTGACAACTTCCCCCACCGACCTCAGTCACCTGCGGTGCGTGGGTCTATCCATCTGCCCATCCACTCAGCCCCTCTCCATGCACTGCCTTTCCATCCTTCCCTCCCCAGTCCCAATCAGCCATCTATTCGTCCAGCCAGCCAGGGTTTCCTGAGCAAGTTCCCAAAGGAATGGGTATAAAGACTCATTCTCAGGGTTCCTGAATGCCAAACCGTTGTCACATACTTTTGACTTGATGCTCCTCTTTTGTTTTCTCAGCAATAACTCAAGTGTTTTTCTATTTGGGGCTTTTGTTTTCTCAGCAATAACTCAAGTGTTTTTCTATTTGGGGCAGGGGGAGACATTTCAATTTTATGCACTTACTATTTCGTATATCTCCCAATTTCAAATGTGCACATTTAAAATGTGCCTAAAACCGGCCACATTTGTATGAGGGGTCCTGCTTGGCACTGTACTTCAGAACTGCCGTGGAGACACCTGACTTGTTCCCCTGGAGTTCCTGATGCACTTTCAGAAATGAGACTCTAAAATCAAAATTCTAACCGCACTTAAGCCATCAGTTGGTGCTCAAAGTGTGTACATGGATTTATCATTCATTCGGCACAACTCTTTCTGAGCACCTACTATGTACCAAGCACCAAGCTGGGCAACAAGGGGCCGGAAATGGATGATAATTGGTCCATGTCCCCAAGGGTCTCTGAGTCAGCCAGGTGGTACCAGTGAACCGGCTGTTTCCTGTGTTACCACCGGTGGAGGCCTGTTCTCACTGGCTGACTTGCTGGGAGGGGCTCAGCAGAGAGCTGGGAGGGAGTGGGCTGCGGAGTTGTGAAAGCGCTTGGCCCTTGTGGCCAATGGAGGGCCTGAGAAGGGGAAGTGGCCACTTGTCAGGTCTAGAAGGACCCTTATACCCCGCCATGCCCTCCTGCCTGGGGATGTGGGACTTTAATCCTCTGAGGATGCCAGGAGAGCTTTTGCAACATTTTTGGTGATGCCATCTGCCGATTCCTGATTTCAGAATTTGTCCTGAGGGCATGTGTGAGCCAACAATCTCAGGACTCTGACCCTTTTGTTGATGCTTTTTAAAAATTTTCTTAAGGACTTACCATGTGCAAGAGATGAGTAAGAAATAGACCCTGTCCCCAGGAGTTCCTGCCTCACCATCTAGAAGCAGGAGGGAGGGAGGGAGTAGGAGTAGGAGCTAAGATGAGTGGTTCTCATGGGAGGGCAGTTTTGTTCCCCAGCCGCATTTCTCAACGTCTGGAGATATTTTTGGTTGTCACAACTAAGGGGAGTGTGCTACTGGGATCTAGCGGGTAGAGGCCAGGGATGCTTCTCAACGTCCTACAATGCACAGGACAGCCCCCGCAAAGAATTCTCCAGCCCCAAATGTCAACAGTGCCGTGACTGAGAAACCTTGGAGTAAGAGCAAGGCTTGGGCATCAGAAAGTTGGGGTGCTGCCATGCACGTGTGTGTCCTTGTGTGTGCTTGTCTCTGCCTTCAGTTCTTTTGAGATACACCTAGGAGTGAAAGTACTGGGTTATACAGCAATTCTGTGATCAGCTTTCTGAGGAACCACCAAACTGTTTTCCACAGCAGCTGAATCATTTTACATTCCTGCCAGTAACATACCGGGGTTCCAATTTCTCCACGTCCTCACCAACACTTGCTATTTTCTTTCTTTCCCCTTCCTTCCTTCCTTC